ATACATTTCAAGTGGCCCGTATTGCCATCGACATTCAGTAAACGGTTATGTGCGTGTGAAATAGCTTCATTTAATGCCCGCGTCCACCGACGTGATATCGCAGAAAATTCGTTCTGCAACTCCACTCAAAGGTTGAGTTCAAGGATTCGAATCATCAACCTGGGTTGTGACTTTATCTAAAGTCACGTTGCTGTGATTGAATTGGTCGTGTTTCGGATTGGCTTCACCCACATAGTGTTTTTGACATGATAACGCCGACTCCGCCTTAAATACAGTGTCGATTGAGTTTACTTTGCTTCATAACAGTGCTGTGATTGAATTGTTCGTGTTTCAGATGACGTAAACCACATAGAGTTTTGGACTATATCCGTGTTCAAACTACATACAGTATTGTGGTTCATTTGTACTGTGTTTAGACAGTGTCACATCCAATATTAATTCGAAACACCGACAGTTAAAATGAAATTTGATGAAATTATTGAGATTTTGGGAGAATTTGGACCCTACCAGAAACGGTTATATTATTTAGTATGTCTTCCAACTATATCATGTGCCTTGCAGATGCTGGTGACGGTTTTTACCCTGTCCATTCCAGACCACAGGTAGATATATATATTTACATATTTCATTGTTCTCAATTATAGTTTCTGAGAAAGAGAGAGAGAGAGAGAGAGCTTAACGTTCACTCGATACAAACTAGTTCATTTCGGGACTAGCATGTTTTTAATTTAATTTCAATTATTCGCTTGTGCGTAGGGGGTTTTAGCTGTGGGAGGAAACCGGAGTACCCGGAGAAAACCTATGAGGTTCGACAGGCGACGCTTCTCCTTGTCACATTCAAGCGGGGATTCGTAACCACACCTCTTGACTCAATGACAGACCTTGTGATTACACGCGCGCGCGTTAAACCACTAGATCCCCACCCGCCTCCCCCCTGCAAGAAATAAAACTGAAATGGGGTTTAACGTCCTACTGTTCTGCTCCTATGCATGGTTAATGAAGACGGGCATACGCCATACAGTGTGCTATGAGGTAAATTTTGCCCGGGAAGCGGCACTATCGCCTACTCTTATATCGAATTCCAACTGCCAAAGGATCTTTTACGTGCATTCCAATGTATACACGGGACCTCGGTTTTTCGTATCATCCGAAGGACTAGACAGCTGTCCTTGTCAGGCCCTCCGTCCTGTATCACTGACAAGGGGGAACCACGCCGGAAAATCTGGATGAACTTTCTCGGCCAATGCAGGAATCGAACACCCGACCTCCAGGCTAGCGAGCCGCCAGCGTCTCACCCACTTAGCCACGTGATCCCCTTACAAGAAATAAACAGCAGATATCAAATCAAGTGTTATTATTTGTATATAAAATGTTCAATCAGGATCTGTTTCTATACACTTACTATATAATCATGTTCTCGGATCGACGTTCTCCAGAAAAGCCTAAGACATTCTTTTGACAGTGCAATGCGTTGATATAACGTCGCATTTCCAAGATGTCTGCGATGACGTCATGGACCAAAATGATCGTATTTATTTTAAGAAAATGATGTTCATGAAAAATTAAAACTCTACATTTCGCAACTCTCTTGATGCCCTTGATTAGGGCTGTACGATATTGCAAAAAGGGACGATATCGATATTGGCATTTTTTTCAACGATATAGTTAAATATCGCGATATTTAATAATAATGTCACTTTGCTATTAAAAAAATTAAATATAAATGCATTAAAGCTGACTACAGAGTGAGTAAGAATTGTGGGTAAGAATTGCTTTATTCATACACTTTAACCTTTGCTTTTTTTATAATATAGATTTATTAAAATGAACAAGACAACATCCTTTTTGGATAAAAACGTTTCAATGCTTTTTAACAAAAATAACAGGAGACATTACTTATGCCTGTACATATAATTAAATTAAATACAACCGCTGATGTTTAAAAAGCGTCTGCTTGTGACCTTGGGTAAGAAAATTCTCAAATATCACATGCAGCGGTAGTAAGTAGTTGCGGTCTTCAAGTCCTGTATTGTAAGTTCCAACTGTCTAACAAATACTAAATGATCCGGACTATCTTCCATTCAAGCATTCGATTGGCTGCGGTATTCCTGGCCTAACAGTGACAGTTATCTATTTATAGATCGTTTTATTCTTGCTTTCAGAAATTAAGTTTCGTAGAGTTTTCTAAAAACATTCGTTTTTAAAAAATATGACAACCTATTTATAGCCTGGTAATTAGCCGCGGTAGTGGGAAATTTCAGGCGTTTAGTAGGCCTAAGCTTTACATGGAGTAACAACTGACAATTTATTGTCGACTAAAAACAAAGTAAAAGTAACGCATACACGGCTGCGGACACTGCGCAAGTGTTTTCAACATTTAACGATTCTCAAAACATTAGTTTTATTATAGTTTATTGCCGTCGGCTAATTTCCACTGCTGTATAGTGTATTTATTATCTATTTTTATGATAATATTTTTCGATATTTGAAGTTTTTGGCGATATTCGATAAACCACTATATCGACGATTTTTGGCCACATGATATCGTAGTTAGGTCTGAAAATACCATATCGCGATAAATGACTATATCGAGAATATCGTACAGCCCTACCCTTGATGACTGGGGAGAAACTCTTTCTTTAAATAAATATTGACAACTTTATTTACAAATGAAACATGGTGTAATTAACTACAACATCTGAACGAGTTATGGTCGTGGACCATACACTTCACAATTCTGTGGATCTTGTCTGCCCCACGAACGAACGAACGCAAAACTGTGTCCCCCTAAATTTCTACTGGCCAAAATCACTGCAGCACAGATGAATATTTCTACATGGCATCATATCATAACACACCCAGTCAAAATACCTTGCAGTATATAATTGTATTGTTCTCATCTTAAATTGCACCCATTATTTCTGATATGAGGTTTATCTTGTTCAACTTTTTTTTAAAAGTAGAGCATTTGTTACATGTCTGGAGATAATGGGGTTCAACTTCTTACCTTTCTCTTTATGGTGAAGGCGGATTTTAAAGCGATAATTTTATATTTTTAAGTTATTTTTTTAAAATGTATTAAAATAAAGCCTTAAAATAGATGGTATCCATAAACAGTTCTACCTTGTTTAAGAATAATCCTATTAATCCTATAATTCACTATTGCCAGTTGAGAAATTGCCAAAAATATCAATTTCAACATCAAATTCAAACGTTTGGAGATAGCTATTCCATGGGGGAATAGAAAAAAACAAGGGAGGTAATTGTGTTATTATTTTCGGGGCGAATGATTTTTTAAGTGTGAGAATGATACCTATGATGGTATAATAGTGAGTTGACAACCTATTGAGCAAAAGACATAGAAATAATTATGTTTTGACTTTCTTAGCAAATATGAAATTCTCGCTTTCAAGGGATTTTGTTCAAAAATTGTAAAAAAATAGATAGTTTAAGAAATGAAAGAAATGGGGTTTAACATTTTACGTTTTTGTTACTGAAGAGGATGGACATCATGTAGAGAGCTATGAGTAGAAGAGGACGGACATCATGTAGAGAGCTATGAGTAGAAGAGGATGGGCATCATGTAGAGAGCTATGAGTAGAAGAGGATGGACATCATGTAGAGAGCTATGAGTAGAAGAGGATGGACATCATGTAGAGAGCTATGAGTAGAAGAGGATGGACATCATGTAGAGAGCTATGAGTAGAAGAGGATGGACATCATGTAGAGAGCTATGAGTAGAGGAGGATGGACATCATGTAGAGAGCTATGAGTAGAAGATGATGGACATCATGTAGAGAGCTATGAGTAGAAGAGGGTGGACATCATGTAGAGAGCTATGAGTAGAAGAGGATGGACATCATGTAGAGAGCTATGAGTAGAAGAGGATGGACATCATGTAGAGAGCTATGAGTAGAAGAGGATGGACATCATGTAGAGAGCTATGAGTAGAAGAGGATGGACATCATGTAGAGAGCTATGAGTAGGAGAGGATGGACATCATGTAGAGAGCTATGAGTAGAAGAGGATGGACATCATGTAGAGAGCTATGAGTAGAAGAGGATGGACATCATGTAGAGAGCTATGAGTAGAAGAGGACGGACATCATGTAGAGAGCTATGAGTAGAAGAGGATGGGCATCATGTAGAGAGCTATGAGTAGAAGAGGATGGACATCATGTAGAGAGCTATGAGTAGAAGAGGATGGACATCATGTAGAGAGCTATGAGCAGACTTTTTGTCCGGAAAACAGTTGAAGGTAACCACGAGTTACAAACCTGAAACAGTGATCAGCTAAGGATGTATTCCTTGCGATCTAAAGCACACTAGCTATATGGTAGACAGGCTTAAATGAAATTCTATACAGCATGCGTGTCATGGCATCTAATGAATAAATAATAGTCCAGAGATGTCACCATACAAGGCAACTATTCGCATATCATTGCGACACACCAGGCCTCGGGATAGCCATTTTGTTTTAAGAATATTAAATTTCTGAGAAAGATACCACGAAATCAAATCGAACAGGGGACCTCCAGGTGAGCGACCCAATATCTTATTCACGGCTGATATTACCTGTAGTAGTATTCAAACAATCAACACAGACTTATTTCAGGACCAATAGGTTTCATTATTGTACTTGAGCGTTGGGGTCTTACTAATATTCTCCTGGTGACGAAAATACCAAACCCACCTCTGTCAATCACTGTGAGACGAGACTGTATGTGTTTTAGTAACGGTAAGTATACAATGCTTCGACAACATTGCCGTAACCATGGATACCTAACCAACGCGACGGTAGATCACCCTATTGGTTTCATACATAAAATCTATTATATTTACTGCTCATTAGAAGTTTTGAAACTTTTTTTCAGGTGCCATCTACCGGATCCATACAATGATACGTCATACCAACCACGTGACCTATTACATCAGTTATACGTCAATCATTCTATACCACGTGATAGTGATGGTAAATGGTCATCATGTAATAGATATGACGTCAACCTAACTAAAGTTACTACACGCACTGTAATAGATGTAAATGTTACACGGACAAGTTGTGACAGATGGGTTTACGATACGTCAACGTTTGAAGATACCTTTATCACAGAGGTAAAAAAATGTCCTTTTGAGGAGTTCCCTTCCTCCTCTTCCCCCAGCCCACCATGCCTCGTCTAACATTCCTATCTTTCTTTCACCTAAAAATGTTACAATAGTCGAGAAATATAACAATTATATCAAGACAATAATTTCTTATTTTAATTAAAAAGTCATTTATAGTCAGCTGACGTTATATTGTGTTTCTTTTCCACAGCAAAATATGATCTGTGACGATACTTTGTTCCGTTCCCATGCCAACATGATCACTATGGCCGGATTTTTGGTTGGTTCCTTTGGATTTGGAATTCTGTCTGATGTGTAAGTGATATGCTGTTCTTCAAACTGTTTCAGTTACATTAAACAAAGTGGCTTGTCAAAAGATTTTAGTGAATATTATAGGTGATGTCGGGGGTGTTTTCTATATCTTAATTAATACCATTTACAGGTGATGACAGTTTTCAGTTCATCCTATCTTTCTTGGACTGGTATTCCCCTTAGTGATTCAACTTTGATCACATAAGTAAAATATTATACTCTCAGGTTAAAGTATATAGAAATATGAGGTTTTTAGAAAGAAAACACTAATTTCTTTTAGCTAGCGCTTTCACCCAGTACGGGGATCATCAGGCATTTGATAATCCCATATAGTCATTGAACTATGTGATGTGTGACCGAATGTGAACTAAACCGGACGTCAGTTGAACACAGGATAATATCCAGACAGATGAGTAAAATGTCAGTGAAGACAGAATATACCCTATATCGCGCACGACACCTTCCACAACCTATGAACATGGACCTTAAATTATTTTAGTTCTTAATCTGCGGTATCAACTTTGTTAATCAATAACATCAACACCATCTGCGGTATCAATAACATCAACTACATTACAATATTATTTATCACATGAAAGATTAATAACGTTGTCGTCCACAAGGCGTTTGGCACGCAGAGAGCCCCCCCCCCTCCCCCCCCCCCCCGCCCGCCGCCGATGCTGCTGATTTATATTTCCAGGTAGTCCACATATTAACTGATAATGTATTCATTACTAGCTGTTCCCCAGGCGTTGGGTGGGTAGAGAGTTTCGCGATGCTTTCTTATAGTAGTTTCGTGAACTCTAAAACCGGAAGTGGTAGTGAGACTTTACCAAGGTTATGTCAAGTTGGAACCGCCTGACAGCCCTGACATTACTAAAACCACAAACAGACAAACGACAGTTACAAATATATATAAATATGTAGATGCTATTTTTTCAGAATTGGAAGAAAGCTTGGTCTGTTGGCGCCTGTATCATTACATATAGTTGCATCGATAGCAACATCTTTCTCGCCTAATTTTACCGTGTTTGTCATCTGTCGGTTCTTCCTTGGTGCTTCAAATGCCGGAACCTTCATGTCAGCATTTGTACTCGGTAATTATTATAGTTTTACTATTAAACAGCGCATCATTCACAAAACAAAAAGTGTTGATATTACTTTGCAAAGAGAGCAATGAAATGAAATGGGATTTAACGTCCTACTGTTCTGCTCCGAACTGGGATAATGAAGACGGGCATACGCCATACAATGTGTTATGAGGGAAATTTTGCCCGGACAGTGGCACTACGACCTACTCTTATATCGAATTCCAACTGTCAAGGGATCTTTTACGTGCACACCAATATGTACACGGTACCTCGGTTTATCGTACCATCCAAACAACTAGGCAGCTGTCCTTGTCAGATCCACTGTCCTGCATCACTAACGTCCACTCGATACAAACTAGATCATTTCAGGGCTAATATATGGTTCAATATATGGCGACCCTACTCCTTGTCACGTACAACCGTGGAATCGCAACTTGACTCAATGACAGACCTTATGATGCGACTCACACGCCCCCCCCCCCCAAACACACACACACCCTTTGCAAAATAAAATTGGATTTATTTATTTGGCATTCTATTTTTCGGAACCCGCTGGGATAATGAAATGGGGTTTAACGTCCTACTGTTCTGCTCCGACTGGGCTAATGAAGGCGGAAATGCGCCATGCAGTGTGCTGTGAGGGAAACTTTGCCCGGACAACGCCGCTACGGCCTTCTATTATATCGCATTCCAACTGCCAAGCAAGCTTTCATGTGCACGCCAATGTTTACACGGGACCTCGGTTTTTGTCCCATTCGCACGACTAGAAAGCTGTCCTTGTCAGGCCACTGACAAGGGAAAACCACGCTGGAAAATCCGCTTGAACTCTCTCGGCCAACATCGTGAGCGAACACGCGACCTCCAAGCTAACAAGCCACCGTCTTATTCACTTCGCCACTGTGGTGATAATGAATACGGCCATACGCTATGCAGTGTACTATGGGTGAATTTTGACAGAACAGTGCCGTTTACACCTACTCTCCATCGCATTGCAACTGTCTAGGCTTCTGTAACGTTTTCCTTCTTGCCCATCAGACAAGTAACAAATCCAAGTGAGCACTGGGATCGAACCAGAGGAAGTCTTGGTTAATGAACTGATGGGTGCTCGCCGATCCACTTTACTATACAAACTCACGGATTTAAAATGAAAACAAAGATAGACACTAATCCAAGATATAAAGATAACGTTTACTGGAGAATAAAATCTGTGCTGTTGTGGGAGTTCACGACGCCTGGTGACAGCCCGACCCCCCCCCCCCCCCGACCCACCCCGACCCACCCTCCTTGCACATACTCCTCCCCCACCCCCACCCACACCCACACCCACAGAGTACAAACCAAGTGACTCGGGCTACTATTCTTGTACGAAAAAACTACGGTGTATTATTAATATAGTCATATTTTAGTGAATTCAAAAATACAGGTCAAGCTATGGTATGGTTGGGACAGACATACTGCACACTCACCTACAATCAAGCTGGGGTATGGTGGGGACAGGCACCGTGCACATACTCACCTACACACTCCGGGGATCACGGTGGTTAAGTGGGTAAGACGCTGGCTCGCTAGCCTGGACGTCGGGTGTTCGATCCCTGCGTAATTGGCCGAGAAAGTTCATCCAGTTTTTCCGCTGTGGTTCTCCCTTGCCAATGATGCAGGATGGAGGGCCTGACAAGGACAGCTTTCTAGTCGTTCGGATGGGACGAAAAACCGAGGTCCCGTGTACAGATTGGCGTGCATGTAAAAGATCCCTTGACAGTTGGAATTCGATATAAGCGTAGGCCGCAAAATGTCCCTCATAGCACACTGTATGGAGTATGCCCGTCTTCATTAGCCCAGCTCGGAGCAGAACAGGAGGACATTAAACCAGATTCATTTCATATCATTTTCCTACACCCTCCCTATTGACTAAAGGTTTTTAAATGACATAATAAAGGAAAGAAAAAAACAGACAAAACAATGAAATGTAACTAATATGTACAAAATAAATGTTATAACAAACACAATTTTGAGCCGAATATTTGAATCAGAAACAAAGTTAATGACATAATTATTAATTAGGGAGTTATAGGCCAGTGGCACTGGAGGGAATTCTATTATTAGACATTATGCTACCGGTACTTTCCAATTGATCTAGTTGTTATTGATTTACATCCGGGGTCGGCTGCTCTTCATCCCACCCCTCCCGGCTAGGCCATACGCGTGAATTAGAGGCTAGATTGTTTGTTAAATATATTTTCTAGCAATGGAATTTGTTGGACCATCTAAACGAAAATTCGTGGGAATAGTTATCGAGATGTTTTGGTGTATTGGATTGTTTGTTTTGAGTATCATGGCTTATTTTATCCGGGATTGGAGTACTCTACAGCTGGCTATATCAGTTCCATCTGTTCTTTTGTTGGCAATATTTTGGTGAGTGTTGCAGATTTGTTTAATTAAGTTCTAAACCATTTTACGTAAATCATTTGAAATCCATCTTAATTAGCCATCTGTTATTGAAATCCAAAACATCAGCACAACTAATGACCGGTGCTACTTGACATAAAGTCCCCGTCAGGCCAAAGCACGACAAACGCGACTCGTTGTAAAGCCCGAGAAGGTTTTCCTAGATCGCGAAGGTCGCAGATCTTGTTCAAAAGGTATCTAATCGATTCATTCCAGACGAGTGACTGTGGCGGTCCAGGTCGTGATTTGGTGTGATGGGGGCGTTTACCGGAAAATGTGGATTTTGAGCTTGAAATCTGCTCAAAGCGTGATGCATCGTAGTTGGTCGTATCAGCCTATTTCGTCGGGTCGCCAAACGTTTTAGACTTGATCCACATCCATTGTAATAACATGGAAACATATGATCCAATAACATAATCCTATCGGGTGTTCCTTTGTAGATTAATGATTAACAGGGATGGTCGCTTGCCTCGCCAGGTGGGTTGGCTCCGGGTACTCTCATGTCCGTCCATTTTTACAGACATGATTCTCTCTCCATCCCTCAACTGAAATAAATGTATTTGCAGGTTTATTCCAGAATCTCCGAGGTGGCTGGTTTCTCAAGATAAGACAGAGAAAGCTGAAAAGATTCTTCGCAAAGCTGCGGAAGTGAATAAAGTGGAACTTCCGGTTAAACTGTTTGATAAAGATCCTCTAGATTCTGGACCGGAAGCTAAAGTTTATGAAATGTTTACATCACCAGTTTTACTCATCAGAACCTTGGTTATCTTCTTTAACTGGTAAGGAAGGTACAATATCAAACTGTCAGATTCTCTTCTTTAACTGGTAAGGTACACACTCATCAGAACCTTGGTTATCTTCTTTAACTGGTAAGGTACAATATCAAACTGTCAGATTCTCTTCTTTAACTGGTAAGGTACACACTCATCAGACCCTTGATTACCTTCTTTAACTGGTAAGGTACAATATCAAACTGTCAGATTCTCTTGACTTTGTTAGCACTAACCTACATCTATTATCTTCTTCAACTCGTAAGACACTCTACCAAAATTGTGACTTTGCTAGCTGAAACCTGCATGTGTATTATCTTCTTCTCAAATGTTGATGATACTTGAGAGAATTGTAATATTCTCCCTGCCTTGATCTAACCTTTAACGTAACGGAAGTCACGATGGTTCAGTGACCAAGAAGTTCTACGTTCCATCCCGATGTTGACCGATAATGATAATTATGGGTCAATTTTATTTCAATAATTCGCTTGCGCGTAGGTGCCTGTCACAATGGGAGGGGACCGGGGGATCGGGAGAAAACCCACCACAAGGAAGGTTAGGTAGCCCTACCCCTTGTCACGTGACTTAATGAAATACCTTCTGATCCAAAGTGCACGCGTAAAACATTTGCCACCCCCCCCCCCTCCCTCGGTGAGTATGGCTCTGACTCGATCGCTAACAAAGGGGTTTGGTTTCGATCCCAGAGTTGACCGATAAAGGTTATCGGGATATTCAAGCCTTTCTTGGTGTCAGTAGTGCAGGACACGGGCCCTGGCTAGGATACATATATAGTCGTTCTGATGGTACGTGACGTCGATGTCTCGTGCATACCTCAGCAGGAGATCAAGGGGTTTGAGAAAATTCTTCGGGATTTTGTAGGCTGGTTTCCGATTGTTTGTAGTGCAGGACGGAAAGACGTGTATCCACTGAAATTTCTTTTATTTTTAAATGCACAGGAACTCGATAGCATTGGATATAAATTTCGGGACACCAATCTCAGCTTCCCCAATAATTCGACCTGCGACTCGTGCAGCTAACCGGATGTTGTACACTGTGTGAATCCAAGAGAAAGGATATTATCAGGAAATTTGTTGTATTTGTACGTCTTTTATAACATAGAAAGCAGAAGATTTGGAGTAAACTTTGTAGGGGAGGGGGGGGGGCGTCTTTGAAGATTTATATAAGTTTTACAGAAAACATTAGTGTAGCTATCAATAAAATAAACGCCTCGTTTTATTTTTTTCAGGATGGTTGTTAGTATTGTGTACTATGGTCTAGGATTGAATGTTGGTAATTTAGGTGGCGACATCTACGTCAACTTCACAGCTGCTAACATCGTAGAGCTAATTTCGTATATATTATGCATTTTATTGCTTGATAGATGGGGTAGAAAAGCTCTACATTGTACGAGTATGTTACTAGGTGGAATAGCCTGTATATTAACAATATTCCCCGTTTTATACCTTGATAAATGTAAGTATTGAATAGCTTGTATCTTAACAATATTCCCCGTTTTATACCTTGATAAATGTAAGTATTGGCTCACTACAAAAGCCGTGACAATTAGATATTGTTCGCCAATTGAGACTTTAATTCGTGAGTTTAAATTCCTCATATATTATTTGTCATGACTGTGTAGTATTAAACTATTTTATTAGCCACTTGCATTACCTCAACGACCTGGGTCTACTTCAAAATCATGTGTGGTAATCTGTGGAACCAACATTCAGTGTTCATCATATGTGATGAATCTTGGTGTGCTACTGGATTCCTCGTTAACCATGGAGATACAGGTCGTGCGTGTTATTACCGTCTTTGATGTATTGGCAATATTCGACACCTCTTGACAGTTGAGACCTGTAAGCTACTTGTGCGTTCCATCTTTGTATTCCCAAGGATCGATTTCTGTAACGGTGCCTTGATTGGAAATCCACAAAACCTGTGTGAAAAACTCCAAAAAAATCACATCGCCGCCGCAAGAATAATAACAAGAACACAACAGTACTCTCACATAACTCCCAACTTAATCGTTCCTCATCTTACACCACGGATCTTATTCAATCATATCGAACAGTAGGGCGTTAAACTCGACCACTTTGCTCACAAAATAAGCCCTCATTGGTTGTGCCGCAAGCTAAACTGAAATCCTATAGGGATAAAGCCTCCGGTGTCTGTGGACTGCGTCTGTGGAATAACTTACCATTGGAGATACAGAGTTCTCAAACATTAGCTGTGTTCAAATCAAAACTCATTTGTTTGTTACTTATTATCAGGATTAGGTATTATCTCCCATGTGCTTAGAACATGCACTATGGATGCTGTGAGCGTAATCATAAATGTACATTATTATTATTACCTGAAATTGTTTTGTTTAAAATTTCACAACATACAAATTTGGAACTAATATCCATTGAAGAGCACAACCAAGTAATTTATTTTGTTAATGAAGTCTTGATCATAATATAAATGTAAAAATTAGATATTGAACGAACAATGCAAATGAAGATCAGTGCCTCTCTATATATATCATTAATTTTGTTTTGTTAAGAAGTATTTTTCCCGAATAAATAAACAGGAAAAGGGAATAATTTTACAGGTGTTCCAGATGAACAGAAAATTAAATTAGTGTAGCTTGATCCATCAATTTGTTTGATTCAATTAGATTTATTTTACCATTACAGCTTATGAATGGATCACAATAACGTTATCGATGGTTGGGAAGCTTGGTGCATCGGCCGCTTTCGCCATTATTTTCGTCTTCTCCGCAGAACTCTTCCCCACCATAACCCGAAACTCCGCCCTAGGATTTAGTTCCTTCTGTGCTCGTGCTGGTGGAATGATGTCCCCGTATATTGCGGATTTGGTAAGTCAACTGAGCTTGTACTTCTAGGAACTGAAACGCCTTGATTTAAATACACTGTTGAAGTGGGTTGATCTGGGTCAAAATCTGTAAGACTGAATCGTCGTTTCTACATATTAAACAGAAGCTACTTTGTTGTTTTAGATTAGTTTTGATTTCAACGGTGAACACATCAAACATAACGTTATCAACACTCTTTATTTTGTTTTAGCAAGATAAAAATCAATTTAAATACTGTTTCTAGTCTTTATGTGAACATCTAGTACCACGTCCCTTCATTAGATCTTGAATACTATATCTACTCTTTACATGCACATCTAGTACCACTTCCCTTCATTATATCTTGAACACTGTTTCTACTCTTTCTATGAACATCTAGTACCACTTCCATTCATTTGATCGTTTTGCTCTTTACATGAACACCCGATTTCCATTATGAGATTTTCCCAATTTCGCAGGTGTATGTATGACTTGTAATATCTAATGATTTATAACTAAATGGCCACATTAATGTTATGCTTGTTATGACAGCCGTACGAATATTGCATGGAATTGAGGTCTTGATATCCCCTAGTTGCTCATGGTTCATTGACAAATCTTAACAAGTAGAATAAGTTTCCAATGAATCCTCATGGACCCTGTCTTATTTGTGTAGTTTTTTGACAAGGATAATGGACGCCTTCTTAACCTAACGGGGTTTCCACATTATTCTATTCTCACGTTTTGGAGTAACAATACTAGCATCTGTTTGACATGGCTGTGTTGCGGTGAGGTTAAACTCCAACTCTGCCTCTTCAGTGTCCAACTTCAAGCCCAAGACCGTACAGCAACGTTTGTTGTTTATTGTTTGCTATGTGTGTGGTCCGCAGAGGCGTAGCGGGATAGGGAGAGTGTGAGAGGGTCACCCTCCCACTGGGGGGGGGGGAGGGGAGGGGCACCCCCATAAATTTTTTTTTAAGTTTCAGTCTTCTGTAACACTGCTTTGGCATATTTTACGGGGTTAAACTAAAACATCATACCAACATATTGGGATATGTACAGGTTTTAAACAGATAGAATCTTAACTAATCCTAATCATTGTTGTAAATAAATAGGAGTTAGGGCCTACTATGAATTTTTTTTATGGTGGTGGGGGGGTCCAAGTATATTCAGACCCCCCCCCCCCCCCTAATACAAAAAACAATTGGGTGGGGGTGGGGCGGAAACTATTGTATATAATATTTCATGGAACTATATAGTTTAGGGCGGTACCACTGTTGTATATACTATTTCATGGATGTATAGTTCAGGGTGATATTGGAACTGCTCTACCACTGTTGTATATACTATTTCATGGAACTATAGTTTAAGGTGATACCACTGTTGTCTATAATATTTCATGGAACTGTAGTTAAGGATGCTATCACTGATGTATATACTATTTCAGGGAACTATAGTTAAGGGTGATTTTGGTACTGCTCTACCACTGTTGGTATTTGGTGGATCATCTGTAGCTGCTGGTCTCTTATCTCTTTTACTACCAGAAACATTGAACCAGACTTTACCTGAGACTGTTGAAGATGCTAAACAATTTGGAAGGTAGGAATATCACTCATCTAAAAGGGGAATCGCGCCATAGCAAAGAGAGGAAACTGCAGGACTCTGAGAAAAAGCAATCCTTGTCCACTACAAGCGGTAAATCGAAACCGCGCCACTTGAATCAATCAATGACAGACTCCCGTGTAAAAAAATCCAACTCCATTTCATTTCTGTTTTCAGGAAAAACAAAAAGTCCAAGTATCATATGAACACAACTGAAGAAGAACCTAGAGGAGGAAAATATGAACTGAAAGAGAAGTTTTAGTCCTTGCTCAGAACATTTTAACAGATGTTTAAGTCCTTGATCAGAACATTTTATCGAATTTTATTATTTATTTGATAGTTTAAAATATCCATATATTATGTTTATATATTTCTAACTATTTTTATATTTCAAAGATCTTTTTATAATAACATAATCTCCCTTATTTAAAAAAGAAAATGTTAAATGGTGTTTATTTACGTCATGTAAAGTAAACAGACTTAAGGATAGATGTGGGGTTTTTTTTTGCAATAACGCCGCGACAACTTTCTATCGGTTGGGGGATGGGGTGGGGGCACTTGATTATTCACTTTCACCAACTTTATTTCAATATTCGCTGTGGTGAGTATGGTGTTGGTGCACTAACTAGAAAAAGGCCTTAGTAGTATCTGGTGTGCAGAGATGGACGCTTGGCAAGGAACATCGTCAATCTTGTTGTCCGGAAGGAGTAGAATATCGGGGTATCGCGTATACATTGGCGTACATGTCAAAGAAAACGGTTTAACGCGATAGATGCTACAATTTGTAACAGATGTTTTTCAAATTTGATTTGAAGAGTTGTCGTCATGAAGGGGCGAACACTATTGATTTTCAGCGCTCATATGTAAATAACTTAATTAAATCAACCTGTCCATAATATCATAATGTATTGGACTTTAAATGTTTAATTAACAACATCAGCGTATTAGTGTATTAGCTTGATAACGTTGAAAGAATACTCTACGAAATGTCGCCTTAAAATACACTAGTAGCTGTTTTCCATAAGTATGTGTTTTTGTTGTTTCTCTATCAATTTACTAAATGCCCCTAAAAGATCATGATAATAGTGTTTCTATATTGTGTGATATAGATGTTATTTCTAGATTTTATTTCAAATCTAGCAGAGCGTGCATTACCCTAGCGTAGATAGTTAGTAGAGTGACTCCTGTTGACACCTGCGTGGCATGAACTACCCGATGACACCACCATAGCAAATGAAATGAAATGAAATGAGGTTTAACGTCCTACTGTTCTGCTCCTATACTGGGCTAATGAAGACGGGCATACGCCATACAGTTTGCTATGAGGGAAAATTTTGCCCGGGCAGCGGCACTATCGCCTACTCTTATATCGAATTCCAACTGCCAGGGGATCTTTTACGTGCATTCAAATATATGGACGGGACTCGGCTTTTCGTCTCATCCGAAGGACTAGACAGCTGTCCTTGTCAGGACCTCCATTCTGCACCACTGACAATGGGAAACCAAGTCAGAAAATCTGGATGAACACCCGACCTCCAGGCTAGCGAGCCAGCGTCTTAACCACCTAGCCACCGTGGCCCCCCACCACCATAGCGTCACCCTGACAAACTATATCATTTCGTGAATAATGTATGGTAAAGTGTCACAAGTATTATCAAAATTGATCCACGCTGTCTTAAGATTAAGTATTATGTTGTATATACTTGTAGGGCTATTTCACAGACTCGTAGACATAAATAATTCAAAGGTTTATTGTCTATATCATCAATGTCAAGTGATTGCTCTACAGACAGAGTTTTTAGGACATATTTTTAATCTAGCTGATCTTATTCCACTGAATTCAGAGTTATTCCCCCTGTCCTATATAGAAATAAACTGATAATCGACTTTGAGACTTGTGTTTCGTTTGGTTAGTCAGATTGCAACAAGATGTATCAGAATAATCGAATGATAACCAGTTAGTTTATTCGCCATGTGTATAGCATGTTATATTATGACATGAATTTGATTGACATCCAGTGCCGGACTGTCAGGTCATTGACCAAGGCCCACACAAATACGCGGAGAAGGCGCGTCAAGAGCGCGCCAAAGGCGTGCAAGCGTTCTAGGGGGTCGATAGGAGGGGGGGGGTCGATAGGAGGGGGGAGTGTCGCCCACCCCCCCACCCCCTGAAAAATTGGAAAATTAACAACCGCAAACCCATTTTCCAAGCATTTCAGACCAAAGCAGAAGAAGGCAAATATTTGATTTCCTAATTTGATTTACTTTCTCTTTTGTTCTTTATAGGCTTCTTTCTTTTCTTCCCCCCCCCTCTCCTTTCTTTTTTTCTTCTTTCTTTTTACTTTCTCTTTTGTTCTTTATAGGCTTAGGCCCATCTTTTTTAATGAGCTTAGGCCCACCTACGGTGGACAGGTTGGTCCAGTCGACATCACGAGAGAGCCGCGATGGTACAGCGAGGAGGTCTCGAGTTCCCCCTGGTGTTGGTCGAGAAAGTTTCTCCGGATTATATAGCGGGGTTTGTCAGTGGCCTGGCAATGTGGGCCTGGCAAGGAATAGTGTCTAGGCATTTGAATAGGACGACAAACTGAGGTCATGTGTACACGTTGGTGTGCCTAAGAACCCTTGACAGTTGGAATTCGAAAAAAGAGTAGGCCGTTGCCCCCATAGAACACTGTATGGCGTATGCCCGTCTTCATTAGCCCAGTTCGGAGCAGAACAGTAGGACGTTAAATCCCTGTAACATACTGTGACGAAAATCGACAGTTTGTATTGTAGGTAGTCATAATGGCTTGCTGCGTAAGGTGGGTTAGTTTATTGACAAGAGAGTTCCTATCCTTGACAGTGGTGAAGGACAAAGTGGGTGGTGAAACAACGTCGCCCAGTAGTTCGGATTACGACGCACTGGTCCTCTGGCGCCCTTAATTTGAGGCCCCTCTCCATCCATCCAGCCCCTCTCAAAAATAGGTTAAGTTATTGATACATTTTTTATTTGAGTGCACAAAGTGGATTTTTTATTTGAAAGCTCGGTGGTTAGAAATGTATGTTGGTGGGATGATCTAATGGTTTAACGTGTGCGCCTAAAATCATAAGGTCTGTCATTAAGTCAAGTGGCGTGGTTTGGATTTCCGGCTTATACGTGACAAGGAGTAGAGTCGCCTGTCCAACTTCGTGGATTTTCTACGGGTCCTCCATCTTTCAATCACTACTAATGCGTTAGCGCATTATTGTCGAGTTGACGCTTTCTCTCTCTTTCTTCCTATCTCTCTCTCTCTCTCTCTCTCTCTCTCTCTCTATCTTATTGCATGTCAATTAACTAACTAATCGTTGTATTTACTTTACTGCACTAATAAAGAAATGAATGATATCGAAAGTCCATTCCTGAGTAAAGTCATTGTCCACAATGCCAAACTGTTCAATCCCCGTTACGTCATAGTTGTTTTAATTCCTTTCAGATGATAAAATATTATACAAGCACAAATACAAAATTCAAATCAAAACACTTTCAAACCTTTTTGAGGGGGCTCTTAGACGTTTTAGGGGTGCATAACGTGCGTGGTGGTTAATATAAAGTAACTACAGTACACATACTTATACAATGAACCTTTTATTCGATTTTATCTCTTTTTGAAACTTATTTAAGATGCAACAAGATATAATAGTTTCTCCAAACACAAGTATATTAATGTTGATGATGCTATCGATCATATTACAATCCGTAACAAAAATTATTTTAAAATATGCCACATATTGTTTTTAGAAAACAATGTTCTGCTCCGACCGGGCTAATGAAGACGGGAATACGCCATACAGTGTGCTACGAGGGAAAATTAGCGCGGACAGCGGCGCTACGGCCTACTCTTATATCGAATTCCAACTGTCAAGGGTTCTTTTACTGTTTAACGTGCACGCCAATGTGTACATGGGCGCTCGGTTTTTCTTCCCATCCGAAGGACTAGACGCTGTTGATGACAGCATATCTTTGTTTTAAATATCCCGTCTATAGAAACAATTAAATGAAATGAGACGTCGTTTAACATGGATTAGTGCGCATCACGTTACCTGTATAAACCGACTGTATTGATTATGTAAATTTGTACACTAGCCAAGGTTACTGATGGGTCATGACCATAAAAGATCCCCTATTGTCACGAAATATTCTCGGATGATTATTGCCTCTGAATAAACATAGAAGGTTATTTGTATTGAATAAATTACTGTATCAAATAACCTTTACACACACTGGTTGAATTGCATTATGTTGACATTGAAACCATTCTAGGTATCGGCAATGTCAAGGTCAGGAGAATTCTCATAGGTGGTATTTGACCTATTCAATCTGACGATAATTAAACCATGGATATTCTACAGATTGTATTTTTATCCTCGTACTTTTAAACTTACCCTGTGAATCAATCATGTGGATCGGGGCCTCAATGACTCACAAACAGGTGTTTTGGGTTCGATCCCGGTGGTAGCCGTGACAGGATATTTCAAAGGGATTTCCCCCTTGTCAGTGGTACAAGACGGAAGGTCTGACAAGGAACATATTCTGGTCCTGATCAAGAATAGACGAAAACCCAAGGTCTCATAAAGTATAGTTTAGCGTGCACGTTAAAGAATTCCTAGCAATGATGCCTGGTCACAATTGCCCCCAGACCCAAAAACATTGTATGCTCGGATCCATTAGATCAAAAGGTCCAAAAAAGTAGCACGTTAAACCGAACGACACCTGACTTTATTTATTTATTTTTATCATATTTATATTGATGTTATTGAAGGGAGTAATGGCATGGTTAAGGTCAACCCTCTCGAGTTTAACAGGCATCAGAGGATCAATGCTAAGCTAACAATATTCTAGAGATTCTATTTATATAGAGTTAATCTTTATGTATCCATACAAGTTGAGTGTTTACTCTGGTGGTTTTTAATACAATATGTATTTATTAAAGAAATGAATGGAGGATCGTGCTATGAATATATTGACACTGTTTCTCTTAAATT